TTAAGTGTATCGTAAAGTTATATTCGGAAAGAATAAACCAGTTTTATTAAGTAAGGACTTGTGTCGCTAAAGTTTCGTCAGAACGAAGTTACGGAAAGTTAATTAACAAACGGAGACGTAACAATATGAACCTAGTCAGAAAATCCATCAATCTTGAAATCAATCATGAAGCTATCTGCTGCCCAACACAGACTATTTTTAATATCTTTAGTTGTAAATTGGCGTATGTTCCATTGCTTGCTACTTGTGCCATACGCATTAGTTATTGCAGATATTAACTCAAACTTCAGCAGTCAGAAGCTTTCGTGTTGGCGACCAGTGTTATGCAATTTAGGTTTCAACTGAGCATAAAACTGGTGCTTAATTAGCTTATTATTAATTTACAACATGTCCTCTTCATAGCACATAGAAACACTCCTTATAAAAGTGGCTAGTCATGTGTGCTAAAACCAACAAAATGCAAATATTTTCTTTGGAGTTAAAAAACAACTGTTGTAATGGGTTCTATCAATAACTATATCATTCTTTAGAGAATTCTTTAGTTAACTAATTCGCTCTCTCTAACTGACTGACACACTAATTTGCTGATTAACTCACTTACTCGGGCTTCTTATGTATTCAATATTTTTCTCTCTCTCGAAAGTCTGAGACGATACATGAAATCTAGGCACTCGGTACAGTTTTAAGCGCATACATCTTCAATACTTCATACCAAAACTTCCTATAGCAATGAATATAAACCATCTGAAAGACAACATGAAATATAGCCAACAACGAAACTAACTTTAAGTGACTTCCACCATTGACTAAGTCCTCTCCTGCACAGACCGTGCTGGCCTAGTGGTTAGGTATAAGTTTGTGAACCTCAGGGTTCAAGGTTTGAGACTTGGTACCACTGAACATGCTTCCTCATTTCAGCTAAATGCGCATTGTAAAACTGGCACTCATTCTTGTTATTTGGTTCAAAAACACGGGCAAATCCCTTGTAGCGGCGAGTGCTGCTGGCTGGTTACCCTTCATCTGGTCAGTAGTTCAAAATTAAAAAGGCTATAGCTGATTTCATAGAAGTCTTTGACTTGACTTTCAGCTCCCATGTGCATAAGGTGCTGCTCAAGTTGACAAATTCAATTCTAAATTCGCTTTGTTTAATGTTAGATAAAACAGCAACAATGTTAACTATAAAAAACTACTTATTTTATTCAGCGGTTGCTTTATCATATATTTATGTTTTATTAATATCATTGCATGTAAGTAACTTAATTACTAATACACACACACGAACAATAATGTGAAACACAGTTATTGTTAAAATGACGGGAAAAATATAATTTGAATTTTCTGTCAGACAATCTCTCTTGATTGCTGAAACATTGACGCCATATTTCTTTTCATCTGATAGCAATTTAAAATTTGTTTGTTATTTGTATGACAGAAAATAAATATATATATATATATGTAGTTTTAGAAGTTTCGATTTAAATCAAGTGCGACATCTATGAGATTTGTTTAAAACAGAGAAGGGAGAAATGTCGGAAGCTTTGGAAACTTTGTCTGTTGCATGGAATGTAATTTCTAAGGCTTTTAGGCCCGCGTTAGACTCTAGAAATAATGATGGGTATTTACCATCGTATGAAGACTTGAAGGCTTCTGTTGAACTTCTTCATCAGCATGGTATAGCTCATATTGTAGAAGAATGGTTTTTCGAGACACTACAGCAAGATTTAAGAGAAATAATTGTTCCAAGGTTTTGGAGTCATTTTGATTTTCAAACTGCAGGTGCCGATGGAGATCCTGACACATCTTTTGGTTCAAAATATTTTCGCGTTCTTCTTAATGCAGTAAAAGAGCTTCATTCATCATTCCAGTTATATATTCCATGTGTTTCCCAACTTCAGTGTTTGCACGAAGATCTGCAAGCAGAAGAGGATACTCTTCCATCTGAAGCACAGACATTTCTGCAATGTTCGTATCTTTCATTAGCTAGTAGAGTTCATCTTGTGCTGAAAGCCTTACTTTTAGCAAAGATTCCTCAACAGTTTAGTAACAATCTTATTAATTTTTACAGTAGAGCTTTTAAAGCTTTCCAAATCAAACAACCTTTAGAGAAGTATGAGGAAGAAGATTTAGATGACCAGTTAGAATGTCCAGCTTGTGAAAATGATAATGAAAACTGTTGCTGTGTTGAGGTGTTAAATACATTTCAAGAAGTGAACCAACATTTGAAAGAGTTAAATCTTTTGGAAGCAGTAGCAGGAGATGCTGTTACCACTGTAGCATATCGGCACATTCAGGATTATGTTCAGAAAACTTGTAAAGGAAACTATGAAAACTCGTATATGCCCCAGTTGGAAAGGTGGCTTGATGGAGCTTTATTGATGTGGATGCAATCTGTGTACAGTGAAAGTAATGCAGAATATGTTGTTTTAATATGTAATATCAAAGAACAAATGAATCACTTCCTCTATGAAACATACACAACAGTTCGAATGGAAGAATTATTTAGTATCATTATAGAGTTTCCTGAATCACAAGCAGCTTTGGAAGACTTAAAAGTTTGTTTAGAAAAGACTAATTTAAGACAAAACCTAATAACTTCATTGAAAAATTCCCTTGAAAGACGACTATTACACCCAGGGGTTAACACAGCTGATATTCTCACAGCGTATATTTCTGCAATTAAGGCTTTAAGGATACTTGACCCTACAGGTGTTATTCTTCAACTTGTTTGTGAACCAGTTCGTAAATATCTCAGACTTAGGGAAGACACTGTACGATGCATTGTCTCTAGCTTAACAGATGATGGTTGTGGAGAACTAGCCTCTGAGTTAATGAAAGGTGCTCCATTACTGCTTGATGATAATTATCAAGCTGATGAAGAAGATGTAAATTGGGAATCTTGGCAACCTGATCCAAGTGATGCAGATCCTACTAAGACTACACAAAGTCACAGATCTCATGACATAATTAGTATGCTTGTTAGCATTTATGGAAGTAAAGATCTCTTTGTAAAGGAATATTGTGTTCTATTAGCTGATCGTCTTCTGTCAACCTTTTGCTATGACACCGTGAAAGAAATCCGTTATCTTGAACTTTTAAAACTCAGATTTGGAGAATCACAACTTCATCAGTGTGAAGTGATGCTTAAAGATGTAGCAGATTCCAAGCGAATCAATACTCATGTGAATTCAGAAAAAATGATAGCTGATTTCAGAGTAGGAGAGTTTCCATTGAATGCTATGATACTTTCAGCTCAGTTTTGGCCTACATTGCGTGAAGAACATTTACAGTTACCAGAGATAGTTGAGAAAGCATTAGAATCTTATAAAAAGGCATTTGAAGCTTTGAAAGGTAACCGAACTCTCTGTTGGAAAGGTCATTTAGGATTGGTGAACTTGGATCTACAGTTGAAAGATCGAACGCTGAATTTTTCTGTTTCACCAATACATGCCACTATTATATGGCATTTCCAGGAGAAAGCTCGTTGGAGTCTGGAGGCACTCAGTGCAGTTACTCGAGTGCCTACTTCTGCTCTTCGAAGAAAAATTGCCTACTGGCAAACCCTTGGCATTTTACGAGAAGAAGCTACAGATGTTTTTGTTCTAGAAGAAGAGGAACCACAAAGGCAGTCCCTTGATGGATCAGTGTTACCTGATGAAGAAGAAGAAAATGGGTCTGTCATGGCTTCTTCACAAGATCAGAGGGAGGAAGAACTTCAGGTGTTTTGGTCATTTATTGTAGGTATGCTAACTAATCTTGGCTCATTACCAATAGAGAGGATTCACAGTATGTTGCGAATGTTTGCCATGCAAGGTTCAGGAACCACTGGGTGTAGTATTCATGAACTACGACAATTTTTAGACAGAAAAGTTCGTGAACAAAAACTTGTATATTCAGGTGGTTATTATAGACTTCCTAGGGCATAACTTGTTACATTTTAATGTCTAAACATCAACTAGTGTGAAAGATTAACTTAAGATATGTTAACATGTTTATAATCCAGTAAGTTAAATTCATTCCGAGCTAATCATTTCTTTCAAATTTAGTCATTATATATTAAGCTCCATGTAGATAATTTTTTAAATAAATGTTTTGCAGAATGTTATAGTTACTTGTATTTTTTTTTCATTGTGTCTTATTAACTGCCCTTTTGTTAAGACACTTTGAAAGAAACCTATTACCTTGAACTTCTAAAACTCTGGACAATCACAACTTTTATGAGAAAGATATTGACTTATTGGAAAGGTTCAGAGGACTACTAGGAAGATACCAAGAATGAAAGTGATATCTTATGGGAATAGGTTAAGACCTCTTTATTTAATGTTTTCTTGAGAGATGATCTTATAGAAGTTTACAAGAGTATCTGATAGATCAGTAGGATAGCAGTCAGATTTTTTATGCTGTATCCTGAAGGCAAGAGGATGCAAGTTAAGATTTAACATAGTTTTATTTTTTCAACAGAGTGACTCTCCTAAAGGCATCATAGCAAGAAAATTCTAAGCTAATCTGCCAGATTGTTGTGATTTGGTTTTGCCATTTGCATCATAATTAAACTTTAGAGATTTTAACCAGAACTCTACAATGTGTATTTTTCATAGTGCATTTGAATCTGCCCGGCATGGCCAGGTGGTTAGGGTACTCGACTTGCAATCTGAGGGTCGTGGGTTCAAATCCCCATCCTGCCAAACATGCTTGCCCTTTCAGCCGTGGGGGTGTTATAATGTGACTGTCAATCCCGTTATTCGTTGGTAAAAGAGTAGCTCAAGATTTGGCATTAGGTGGTGATGACTAGCTGCCTTCCCTCTAGTCTTACACTACTAAATTAAGGACGGCTAGTGCAGATAGCCCTCGTGTAGCTTTGCACGAAAATTCAAAACAAACAAGCATTTTAATCTAAAATTATTAATATTAGGGTGTTCCAAGCTTTTTAAATTTTGCATGTGCAATGCTAGCAATGACAACGGTATATGATGTAGGAAGTTTTTAGTATTGGGTGTATAATAAATTCATTATTTTGCTGATTTGAAAATTTATATATTTGGACCTACTAATTACCACAAATACACATGCAGTAAGTTCAGATGTTCTCAGCCACAACTATATTGTAATTTCATTTGCAGAAACCATCAAAATTGAACATAAAAAGTTAAGATTGAGCTGTTTTATTGTTTCATCAAAGTATCTTTTGTTAGGTCTTTTGCTAATATTTTATGTTATGCAGTAAATTTATTATTATGTTTATTTCTATTACCTGTGTTGAATATACAGATATATATAAACATTAGTACAATTTCCTTTTCTTATCGTTATTTTAGAAGTTTTCTTACTGTAATACATTGTGGTAATTAATAGGACCTTATTAGTTTGATTCTGTTCCTTTTGATGTATGATGCATGTATATATATATATATATATATATAAAGCATACATGTACCTAGGCCAGTAACTTTGTGGGTTCTGTAGTAATTCATGATGTTTAGTACAGGAAGCTATTGTATGTGCTGGAACCAGTTACTTGTAAAAGTTTTATTTTTGTCATTGATGTTGCTAAACTGATCGAATAGTTTTCATTTTGAAAGAACTGTTCAAAAGACTAACTGCTGCCTTTCTGGTTTTATTTTTTATGATTGACAAACTATTACACAAAATATATGAGGTGAAAAGTATATTTAATATTGAATTTATCATTTTTAATAATTGGGAGACTACTAAATAAATGGACATGAAAAAATAAATTTTATTTAAAGTACAAATCAAAGCTTTTGTTAAGCCTTGAGAAGACACCTCTTGTCAAAGCTCGACATTACTTTTCAATCTTTCATACCTACGTTTAAATTATCTTTAATCTCAAACTTAGTGCTTAGAAGAGTATTGGAATATTTTATAACTGCAACTCACAGTTATCAGGATTTTCATACTCTATTCACATTGTACTGTACTTATTACATGCACTTGCACTGTCATACTCTATTTACTTATTACCCTCACTTGCATTTTGATGAAAATATTCAAGACTGTTATATGTTTATATGAGCAATCACACATCAAAATTTTTTTTACATTCTTAGATCTCTTAATGTCATATTCCTTGCCTAATGATGTAAGCCTCTCTTTTAATTAGATACTAAAATAACTTGTAGTCGAACTCAGTAATGAAACATTTCAATAAGAAACTTGAATATTGATGATATGTTTTTCTATATGTATAATGTAATAAAATTAGATTTCTCGGTTTTTAAACTATCGTATTGGAGTAATAGAAATGAAAGCCATATATTGTGTTTTTAGTTGGGAAACATTGTGCATTCAAATGTATAATATTGAAGTGTTTCGAAATTTTTCCATGAATAACACAGTCAAGTTTTATCAATTAAATGGTCAGTGGGCCCTCATTAGCTTAAGATATCCCATACACATACACAAAATGTCAGGAAAATTCATGATTGAGGTATACAATTAAGTAGTTATTTTGGAATTGTACACTAACTAAAATAAAAGTGTTCTGAAAATAATAATTGAAAGTAGAATATATAGTGTGGGTATTAAGAGTTGGATAAACATAGGCATTCTGTGTTGTATGTTTGTGTCTTTTGTGGTTTATTCTCTGTGTCCAGTAATGAATACTAGAATGAACTTGGTGATAACAGACCATTTTAATTTGTTTTTATCACCAGAGAATGAATACCAGAACCAAACAACCTATATTTAGTGATACACTTCCAACGGGAACTTAAACAATTCAAACTATTAATGTACCACATCGGGTCTTAATGATTGTAAAGGAGAAAAAGGATTAAACTAGTCGTGGGAGGCAAGGCACACAGGGGA